ATGTGACAGCCTGGATGGGTAGCTGCACAATCATACGTGAGCAGAGTAAACAGGAGGGGGCTCCACACACATTTCTGAGGAGAGCCAGTGCTGAGGGTTATGGTGGAGGAGGAGAGGTTGTGGATCCTCACTAACTGTGGTCTGTTTGTTAAGAAGTCTAGTACCCAGTTGCAGATGGAGGGGCTTAGTCTTAGTGTGGATAGTTTGTCCATCAGGGTTTGGGGGATCATGGTGTTGAAGGCGGATGTGAAGTCCACAAAGAGCATACGGACGTAAGAGTTTTTCTGCTCCAGGTGGTTGAGCGCAGTGTGGACCACAGAGGAGATGGCATCCTCTGTTGATCGGTTCTCACGGTATGCATACTGATGAGGGTCCTCGTTGATGTTGATGGTTGTTTTGATGCGAGTCATGACCAGTTTTTCAAAGCATTTAGCAACTATCGGGGTGAGGGCCACTGGCCTTTAGTCATTCAGACCAGTCACTGTAGAGCTTTTTGGGACTGGGATGATGGTGGCAGTCTTCAGGCAGGTGGGAACTGTCTCCAGGGTAAGTGAGGTGTTAAAGATGTCTGCCAGCACCTCACAGAGCTGATCAGCACATTCCTTGAACACTTTTCCGCGGATGTTGTCTGGGCCAGTTGCTTTGTGCGGATTAATCCTCCTGAAGGTACTCCTTACTTCTGCTGAGATCACGCTGAGATGCTCTTCGTCCGGTGGCGAGGTGAGTCTGGTGCTGGGTGGTCTGTTCGGGTCTTCAAAGCGTGCATAGAACTTGTTGAGGGCATCAGGCAGAGATTGGTCTTTGGGGCATTGTTCACTCCTTCCTTTATAATCTGTTATGCACTTAATGCCCCTCCATATGCTCCGAGGGTCTTGTGAGATGAATTGACCCTCGATCCTCTTGGCATATGTGGCCTTGGCCCTCTTAATACCAGCAACCAGCTCTTTTCTTGTCCTACTCAGCTCCTCTGAGCTTCCAGACCTGAAGGCAGTGTTCCTGGCTTCCAGCAGGGTACGCACCTCTGCATTCAGCCAAGGTTTTCTGTTTGGGTAGCTTTTAACATTTCTGATAGTGGAGACGGTGTCAGTACATGTACTAATGTAACCCAGAACTGAGGATGTGTATTGGTCAAGATCAAGCGAACTTCCATTTTCAGCAGCTTCTCTGAAAACCTGCCAGTCTGTTCGATCAAAACAATCTCTCAGTATGGGTCCACTGTCCTGGATCCAGCATTTAACTTTCTTTTGTACCGGTCTGGAGCGTCTCAGCGGGGACATGTAAGCAGGAGCCAGGAAGATTGAGATGTGGTCTGACAGTCCTAGGTGGGGGCGGGGTTCGGCTTTGTATGCATCTTTTACGTTCGTGTAAACACGGTCCAGCATGCGGTCTCCACGTGTCGGAATCGTCACATGCTGATTAAAGCTTGGGAGACAGTCCTTTAGATTCACGTGGTTAAAGTCTCCGGCTACAATGTAAAGAGCCTCGGGGTGTTTGCTCTGCAGCGAGCTGATGATATCATGTAGCTCCTGTAGTGATGCATTAGCGTCCGGAGGAATGTAGACGACAGAGATGAAAGTCACCGTGAACTCTCGGGGTAGATAATGTGGCCGACATTTCACTGTTATTTGCTTGTTAAAGAGGGCCACCTGCATCATGAAGGACCACACTCAACCAGCACACTCACTTTTTGCCCCGCTCCCCTCAGGTAGGAGGTTGAGGAGCATTAAATGTAGAACCACTAGACTGAGGAACAGCTTCTACCCTGAATCTGTTAGACTCATGAGATAATCAGGATTATCACTGTAATGCCACTTGATTGTTTATATGTGCTGCTGACTATTCATGTTGCTGATCTTATGCTGCTGATTTATTTTATGCTTCTGTGTTCATTCATACTCATCTGCTCACAGGCTCATGTTCGTGCTGCTGTTGTCTGTTGTACTATTAGTGCTTAGCGTATTCTTAGTTTAGTGTATTTCTTAGTTCATATCTTAGATCATATTACTGTTTTTCTTTACAATTTATACTTATTTTGAATGTAACTGGGATCCTGTGTACACAATTGAAGGTGCTATACAAGTACAATCCATTTACAATTTTGTTCCGCCACATGTACACAGTAAAATTTCCAGAGTAAAATTTACTCAATTTGAAAAAAAATTTACTCTAAAAAAGATAACATTTGGTCCCAGTCTAAATAGAGTAAAATTTACTCTCATGGAAGAGTTGAAATTTCAGAGTAAAATCTACTCTATTTAGTGCAAAAATTTTAATCAATGCCAAGAGAATTTACTCTAAGTTGTTTAAAAGAAAAACTACTCTACCGTATTTTAACTCCAAGTGGAATATAATTTACTCTAAATAGAATTGCATTCTATTCCAAGTAGAGAAAACTTTTAGTCTGACTAAAAAATAATTTTACACAAAATAGAATAGAATTTTATTCCACATAGTATCAAATTGTGCTCTTAATGGTGTAAAATTTTACTCCTAATTTTATTTTATTCCATATTGTGCAGTTAAACATTAAATTAAATTGTAAAATAGAACAAAATGTAACTTTATTTCACTCACTAAGCAATTTTTTTAGCCATTATACACATCTGAGTTTGTAAGAGTACAATGCATAGACCAGAAATCAGTATTTGAACAGCCATTTTTATTGTTCACAGGAAACAGTATGGAACAATATAAACATTTGCATCTTCATGACTGTATGACACCTGTAAATCAAAAGCTCTGGCACAGAAAAGCTCTTCTACATAAATAACATGAGGTCCATCTCTTGTACACAAAACTTGAAAAGCACTGAAATGCTCATTCAGACACACTGTTTGCAGTGCAAATGTAACAAACAGTAACCTCTCATCTTTCACAACAACATTGTAGATCTTATGGAAAACTGGCATTTCACAAAACATTTCTTTACAAACAACTAAATCTGCACGATACATATTTCCATGGTGTTTGGCCCATTTAACATTTAATACTTTGGTGTTGATTGGTAACTGAAGAGTCTCTGCTATCTCACAGCCCCACTTCAGTACATTTAAAGGCACCATTTTACCTGGTCCAATGGTCAGTCTCTTGTGGTCAAATGTATGCCAACTGAAAGCAATGTGACTTTGATGCTTTAATGCCAGGGTTTTTGTAACATTTTTAAAACTTTTCAATTGTTTTTTAAAGAAATTGTGTTTAGCTTCGTATCGCATGCACCAGCTATGTAGAATTGGGCCTATTTTGAGTATGCATGTAGGATAATGCACCATAAAATGATGCTTTGGGAGCAACTTTTTTTGTGGAAACAAATGTTTGAATAACCTGTGATGTTCGGCAATCAGGTGTTTTAAGAAAATAGTAATGCCTTTTGATAACACTGGTGAAAAAACAATATTTACTATGTGAAGCAACAGCTGCAGCAAATACCAGTGCTGATCATTTGGACAAACTAAGTCTCCAAAGATGAGTGGTAGGTTACGTAGTAGACACCAGGACTGGATGGCATTTAACCCCAAGTCATTTGAGTCTTCTACCAACTTCACTGCAGGTGGTTTGTTGGTTTGTTCCATGTAGCCATAGTTAAAGCTCCTTATTCTCCTGTCTACATCCTTTAATGTTGTGTACTGGTCAACTACATGCAACAAAATCAGCTTCATTTCATATTGTGCCACTCCTTCCAAGATATCATGCATAATATCAACTGAGAAGTTTTCACATGTACTGAAGTACTGTAGTGAATTTAGAATGCATGACTTTTTAACACCCATAACATATGGAAGTCTGGGATTTGCCTCCATTTTCTGACAATGTTCAGCATGAAGTGCCTTAGTTCGCATAACAATCTTGGGTGAGTCCTCTGTAAACTCTGTCTGAAAGTCCTCTTTCTCAACGAGACAAAAGCGGCAACAGTATCTGGCACTAAATGACTCTACAAAACCAAACAGACAGTGAAGACCAAGGTTGTCACCAGTAACTTGGACAATAGTTCCACGTACTGGCTCATCATACATGGGAACAGTAATTCCATCCCTCTCCAGGATTTTAACATCCTCCACAATCGGATCAAGTATCTTAGAGAAGCCGTAAGTTTTAATGTCCTGCGCATGAAACAGAGAGACCAAGTGAATATTGTGTAGAGCAGAATTGTACTTAGGAGAAAAATTTCGCAGTGTGAAATATATAGCTCCCAATTTATGTATTCCCCTTTTTGATCCCAAAGGATTAGCTGTTTCGAAATCATCATAGAAAAGTTGAATTTGAAGGGCATGATTTTGTTTTGAAAACAGAGCATGGCTCTTAAAAAGTTCTCCATCAGACAAGTCTTTAAGAGTTTCACTTGAATTTGACTTGGCCATCATCTCCTCTATGTTAGGGTGTCTAAAAATAAACTTTAATGTTTCCAAAATTGGGATGTAAACAAATTTATCTGTAACAACCACCTGATCATAGCCCCCTGTGGTTTGACTGCGCAGTGTATCAAATCTGGAACCAAGGACATATTCTACTGGGTCTACACGTCCCCAATTATCTGCCAAAAAACGAGTTCTTTTACTTTCAGAATTTAATATCTTGAAAGGATTTTCCATTTTCTCAAAACATTGATCAATTTTGCACTCAATGTCACTTTTGACAGGTTCTTGTAAAGAAAGACTGTTTTTCACAGATTCTTTTGCTTGATTTTGAAAATCATTAACTATTTCTTCCAGGGAAATTACCAAAGAGTTAATTGCTCTTTCACTTACACCTGCAAATTTAAGTTCTGCAACTGCTGTTGCACAACTATGCACAAGAGATTTCTGAAGCGGGACTGTATCAGAAGCAGCACTCATAGAGGGCAAATTTTGACTTTCAAATGTCTCTTCAGTTGTAGATGGGCCTTCACCAGGATTACAAGTGTGTTTATCATGTGCTTTATTGAGATGCTTTCTGAACCCAGAAAATGTGCCATAAACTTGAGCACAACCTGCCTGACCACATTTAAGACGAAGTGTCTTACCAGAGCAAAGTCCGTGGATCAATTTTAAGTGCTTGGTCAGAGAATTAGCATTTGTCTGGTACTTCTTACAAATGAAGCAGAACATTCCAACTCAACTTAATACTGAAACAATCATAGCAAAACAACTATTTAACGCAGCATCCGAGCCCTCAACTCTGCAACCCTAGGATTTACTTTGGTTGTCTCAACATCTATCTCATAAATGGCGGTCTGCAGAAAATTGTACACATTGACCAGATCATGGTCATATGAAGTGCCGAACACAAAGTGAGCTTTAAAAAGCTCATCAAAACAGGCTAGAGGGCCTGGTGATTTACAAGGTATGGCATGTTTGTCAATCACAATGAAGTACTTGTGAATAACGCCCCTCTGAGTCCCTACTGCAAGCAGGTAAGGTTGACGCCTTTCTGCGATGCCATCAAGGTGCCCCTGGATGCTGGTTCCTGTCTGTGGTAAAAACAGAATAAAACATGATTAGTCTTGGGTTTCAAAGAAAACAGGGTTCTTATAGTTAAGGCAAATTACTTTTCAGGACCTCTTTAATGTTACTTGAAATGAAATTTCAGACCAACTTCACAAAAAATACAAATAAATAAAAATAAGTGAAGAATAGGGAATTTTGATCAACATAAATATTCCCTTAGCTGTAACCTTACCTTGACAAACTTCACAAGATGTTCAATGGCTGCTCTGGCTGAGAGTTTTCCTGGTCTCTTCCGGCCATGAGGTGACGGTGGCAGGAGGTGCACAAGAATCAGAATGGATGACATGTCACTGTCCCATCCTGGAAGAAAAGATGAAATAAACATAAGCTAACAGAACTTCTTTGCAACCGTGTTAACACTTCCAGAGGAAGCTTACCAAACAGTGACGGCAGAAGGAGGCGCACTTATATTGAATCAATTTACATAAAATTATGTTACATTAAACACCGTCTTTATAATCCAGTCCAACTTACCATTTTGCACCTCTGTTGTGCCTTCAGCATTGTGAAGAAGGTTCTCAAGGTCATCAGACTGTGTGAGACCACGGCTTTGTTCGAGGACTTTCTGCTTGTAGACAGTGGGCCACTTCTCCAGGAATTTTGCAGAGATGGCTTCCCCAAACATCAATGTAAAATCTTGCTCAACCTGGAGAAGAGATGAAGGTTTTAAAAATCATTTTGTTAAACTTTCTCACGCCCACCTCAATTTAAACTTTATAAAAATAGGTTAAGCTGAAGTGAAGATAAGCATACCAATCCTCCCATGTCCAGGAATCTTGGGAAGTCCAAAAAGATACCAGGTGACTTCACTGGGTCATGAATCATCTTCTGGCGATAGTTGAAAGTCTGTTTCATCTTCCTCATTACAGTTCCTTCATCAGTTGTGTGCTTCATCAGCGCAATGGCTTCAGAACACAAGCTGTCTGTCAAAAGGCAGTCTTCTTCTCTCAAACAGTCTCTGTCAGTTGTTGGTCCCCCTAAAAAAACATTATATGAATGGGACACTCGATCTTAGGATTTAATAAATAAGGCTTGGGAACCTATTGTGCAGTTTGGTTGTAGGATAAAATTTGTACAAGTATAAATACACATACCTGTTTGGGTTTGTGACAGTCTGGGGACCTTCTTTTGTCCATTAGAAGCTTCCCTCTGGACAAACTTCAGTCTCCAAGCCAGATACCCACTCCCATCTTCTGCATTGTAATAATGCTCCTAAAAGTAGGTGAATGATAAATGTTTTTAAAGCTGCGAAAGTAAAGACAACCGTGAATGATAGTAGCTATGATTTACAGATTTTAGTTCCCATTGTTTGAATTACATAAATAAAATCTCTTCACAATGTTTATTCTTCAAGCTGCAGTAGGTCAACACTGGAACAATAAACTCTACAAAAGTTTTAAAATTGGAAAGTTAAAAACAAGTGGCACAGATGCAGGGGATGCAACAGAGAAACATTTTCAGTTCTACTCAAACCATAGCCAACAAGTTGGACTTCTGTTTTGAACTTACATAGCCAAATCTGCTCTTAGGATCAGCCAGGTAAGGGAACAAGGTAATAATACCCTTTGCATAGTCCTCTTTGATACGTCTGGAGGGACTTGTCCTATATTGACACAGAAAAAACTCTGAGCATTGTTAAAGGTGTAAAGAACACCTTCAACAAAAGTAATTGTGAGAGGTGCATAGAAAAAATTTTTATTATTTCAGCATACCCATGTTCACTTGTCATATGTGCAACCAATATCTTGACCATTTCACGCCGTCTGGTGTCGGTTAGGCTTTTTGTCCGCGCATATTCATTGACGATCCTGTCTCCTCCTGGTTTGTTCTTTAGAACATTTTCAATCATCTAAAGTGATGGTAAAAATATAAATCGATACGTTGCAAAAACACTGTACACAAGACAATTACAAATCCTATTTTATTCCATAAAAAAGAGATAGTATTAAAAGAACTATAATAGTTATTAGTGGAATAGTAAGTTATGTTAAAAAGCACAAACAAAACTATAAGAACTTAAATTTTTTGGGAAGTCCAGAGCCTTCTATGCTAAGGATCTGGACTAAAATGTGCAGAGATATGCTGAAGGAAAAAAACACAGAAAGTGGTTTTAAGAGAGCAATTTATATAATGTATTCAAATTTTGTAAAAACTCTATGGAAGTCTGCACAGTAATCTGCATAGCTTACTTGGGCAAGAGAGGTGTCTTCAGCTCTATGTCTTGTTACAGGACTGTGTTGCAATATAATGGTGTCATCGGAGTCCACTTCAGTTTCTCCACTGGAGCTGGTGAAGGAGCTGCTTGCTGCACAGCTTAGCTGATCCATAGGATTATCTAAACATTTTGTTGGTAGAATTAACAGTAGTCAACACTAAAATTGAGAAAATGGTTCTCTCCCAAAAACTTTTTTTATATATAAATTAAGGTCACCTGATGAGCTCTTCTCACAAGAAACAGTATGATACAAACATAGATAACTCATGCACATTTATCTGTGTTCATTGTGATGAACCACTGAAACACTAGAAATAGGCCAAACCGTGAATGGTCTGTGATGTAAGATGTTTCCACATGTTGTGTGAAATGCTACAAAGGTGAACGCTTTTATGATCTCATCCTAGATTGGTGATATCAAATGGACATCAACATGTCTATACTGATCTGGAAAGACATTTCTATCCCTATTGGTCAAACCCATAAGGATGACCAAAAATAGTTCACAAAAATAAACAAATGACACTTTGCAACACCTTACCTTCTGGATGGAGATCTTGTGCTTCACAAATTTCCAGCACACCAAGGTTTGGACTTTTCAAAAGGAGCTCAAAAACCTCCTCATCCACTTCAGTCTTAGAATCATCAGAAACTTTTAAGTCCAAGGTTGGGATGCTGAACTTTTTTGCAGCTATGAACATAGCAAATTATTTATTTATTATATATTTGAACATATGTAAATAACAATTAAAAGACATTATAAATTAAAATTAAGTAAAACAGAATAATAAATCAGAAAAGTTGGTAAAGCACCCATTATGGCAACATTCCCAAAACGTTTTTGATAAACACAATATATGAAAATGTTGGAAACTTGTTTTGTTTGCACTCACCACATTCCAAAAATGAACTGTAAGTCAGTTGGCCTTCAAAACAGATGTATTTCTGTCGATCTCTATGTTTGACACGCACAGCTTGCATCCTGCATTATGTAAAATATGATATTTTTCAATAACAAATTATTATATATTATTCACTTTGATAACATACTTATCGAAGGGAATAAAAAAAATTAAGATAAGAGGTTGAAACTATCATGGGGAAGAAGCACTTGGTGGCTAACAAATATCCTTAATGGGCTCTTAATGAGCTAGGCGCTCTTGAATTTAGCCAATCAACACAACTAAAACGAAAACAAAACCACATCAGTTCCATACAACTCGATGCAAACGGGGTTTATGGACTAAATAGTCAATCACAATGTTTTACTGACAACTTACAGTTTGCATACAAAGCACAACTTTAATTATATATTTTTAATTGCTGCTCTACGTTCAAGAGAAGTTACTAGCATAGCCCTCCCGCGCCATTTTCTGGGCGGGACACATGCTAGCAGAGCTAGCTTCGATTGTACAGCTAGCTCCTCTTTTAAACTCCGTTCCTTAGCTTAAAATAGCAACAGCCTTGACTTATGCAAATAAAAAATGGACGTAGCATTGTACAACACTGATGTTTTTTTTCTGCTTACATTGTTGTAAACGGCTACATTAAGTTAGCTGAAGCACACATGCTAACTAGTTAGCCAACCATGTTAATTCCTCGCTGCACCCCTCCTTCCCCCACGACCACACAGCAGCACGTCATCTTTCCGCTAGAGATAATTAGTGTTAATAATAATAAAAAACAAATAAAACCCCACATGAAATATGTTTACAACCCATTTGGGCACTTACCTGGCACAAAGCAGACCGTCGCCTCCGGTCCAATGCGGGAAAACAAAATGGTGGAAGAAACGAAACTTAACGAACTTCAGTGGGCGTTTTTCTTGTTTTACTCCGATATGATTTACTCTGTTTTTTTCCTCCGATTCTATTGACCAATTGACACGATTTTACTCTATAATGTATAAACATGACTCTTTTAGATGAAAATAATGTTAACTCCGAAAAAATTACTCTTCTATTTTTCCTGTGTATCACATGTGGTGCGAATGACAAATAAAGAACCTTTGACTTTGAATGGTTGTTTGTCTGTATGGTCTAGGTCCCCCACCTCTCACACAGCTAGATATGAGCACCAGTGACCCCTGCGACCCGAAAAGGAAGAAACGGGTAAAGATAATGAATGTTGGACAAAGTAAGCGCTACAGGGCGGCTGTGGCCGAGTGGTTAGAGCAGTCGTACTCCAATGCAAGAGTTGGGCGTTCGAACCCCACAGCAGTCGCATGCCGAAGTGTCCCTGGGCAAGACACTGAACCCCTTGTTGCCTCTGATGTGTGTCCCATGAATGTATGAATGTGATAAATCACTGATTAGTCTCTTTAGAATGATTTGTTCAATTAGCTTTGTGTAGATCTAGTATAGAGCTGTATGAATGTGTCAATGAGGCACAGATTGTTGTAAAGAGCTTTGAGTGTCTCAATAAGATGGAAAGGCGCTACAAGTACAGTCCATTTACCATTTACAGTGGCTTCCCTGCAAAATATATTTTGTCAAGACACACATTGATGAACCGCTACATTAAATGGTCTGGCATTTATAACCACTAATCTAAGCTGACCTAAGTTTTCAGGGCCTGTTAGGATAATTTAATATTATCCTTAGTAGCTCATTAAATATCTTACACAGGAGCGAGTAGATAATTTTCTTAATCCCAGTTTAATATTGCAAGACGGAACTGAGTTGAAATACAAGCAGCCAAGATGTTTACATGGTGTTTTGTCTCAAAGTCTTCTCAGAGAGCCTAAAAATTGTCTTTCTATAATGTTATTGGAGGCGCTGCCTACCAGCTATCACAACCCTCTGGTTTTAGTCCAAAATGCAGGCAGGCGAGTGAGGCAGGAGTTTAAAATAAAAATTATTCATCTTAAACAACAAAAACAAAAGGCTGGCATGGCAGCAAACCTTACAGACTGGAACAGGCAGGCAAAACAAGATGGGTTCGGATTCAGATTCAGACAGATCACAGCAACAGAGGAGGACTGTAAAACAGAACAATGCCCCAATGAAGAGCGGAGGAGAGAGAGGCTTTTTATAAGACCGAGGGAGAGTGAGTAATGAGAGCACCTGGGCAGGTGGCTGATGAGGGACAGGTGTGAATGATTAAGACTGAAGAGGCAGACTGAGGTGTGAGTGGAAAGTGACAGAAAACAGAATCAGATACACAGGAACAGAATCACACAAGTATAAAGAGCAGAATGAAATGAGCACAATAAGCAGAAAAGGGGAAGACACAGAAATAGCAGACAGCTAAGGGACAGACTGTGACACGAGCTTAGGCCTTGAGTTTATGAGGTGAAAGGATCCATGCTTCTGCAGCACGCTGTCCAGACCAAACACTAGAACACCACACATGGTTCATATATAGTTGACATTAATAAGTGAAACACACCTGTGACCCTTCACATCT